AATTGAGCTTGGATATGATACTGTAATAAATTTTTCTAAACAATTGGTGTTTTTAGGAATTTCACTTTTACTATCAGTAAAATAATTACTATTAGACAAATAACTAAAATAATAGAAGTGTAAAGCAAAAACACATGTAGAATATGGGTTTAAATATGCTTAGATTTATCAACTATCAAGACCAGAAAAGACACTCAAGTAATGTTTCATTTTTCCCATGTAATTATTGTCTGGGGAAACATGCTTAGGATTCTAAATAGGTTTATTTTAGATACTGAAATACTAGTTAGTTCTAGTTAGGATATGAAAAATGAAAATACTATTCTTAGCTGGCTCTGAGGCCTAGTTAGATTTAGAAATGAGAAGTCATTTCTTTGAACTAACAGAATTTTTTGGTTTGGTTTGGAATTCTGTTTTCCTTTTAATGGATCCATAATCCACCTCTTCTTCTCTAGTTGTATTCTACTCTGAAAGAAGGCAACCCACCCTGGGAGGTGACAGAAGCGGTTCTCTTTATCATGGCTGCTATAGCAAAGAGTGTTGACCCGTGAGTGTCTAATAAGTCTTTTGCTGGGAACTCTAAATGTTGAGAGAAGGGAAATGCATACCATTGTTCTCTTGATTGGAAACTCCTAGAACAACTTCTATGCTGCTGTCTAGTCTTCTGACTTTTAGCACCTAATGCAGGATGGCCTGCATTGCTGAGGCCATTTTAATGCATTTCCTAGAGTTAAAATGATTTTACTCTTGATGCTAGGAATAGAATGCTGATTTATTTTTCCTTCAGTGACTCCCTTGTGACAGTGGGTGTGATCAAAGCATTTGTTAGACTTAAAAATTGTTGATATTTGCTTAAAAACAATAAAATAGGCACTAATTGGTCTCCTATTTTTGTAAGCTTGCATAAATTACCTTTATAGATGTTTAATTACATTGTTCTCTTTCTGTCTTAAGAGTTTCAGAGAGGGTTTATAACAGGGTTTCTTAAACAGAATTTACTTACGTCACAAGTTCACACACTGATGCTATTATCTGTTATCTTGTGTTTTGCTCAGCTTTCTATTTGGGACCTTTATTGGACATATGGTTAAGGCAGATAGCTGTTAAAAGCACAGTGCTTCTTTCTTTGCTGCCTTTCAGGGACCTAGTCAGTGAACTTTTATATATAATGTTTCTAATCTAATAAATGTTTAAGGAAATGGCTAGGTTTACTTTGCTCTGTTAGAAGTTCTGCTTCTTAATTACTTTTGCATTTGCTCTTAAACAATTTGGTGTCTTTTAGAACCTTCTCTGGCATTCTCAAGGTTACCATAAACATTAATATTCTATCCAAAATGTATTGATTTGAGAAAGGATGGATAGTCTTTGATAACTGGCCAAATGTTCATAGGAAAGTTAAGGCATAAATGAGAGAACATTTTCAATTATCTTGAGTGGTTGTAGCTTTTTAGTTCTTTTAAAGAACTTAATAAACCTAGTTATCAGCAGGGGGTGCTCATGTTCTAATCCTGGGTAATACTTGCATTTTAAACATCTTTATTTCTGGATTTTATTCTACCTCAGGGACATCTTCCATGCTGCTTTTTTAACCTAGTATAGTAGGAGGGTAAGGGCAATAAATTCCCAGAGCTGTGGAAAGTGTTTGGTTAACTTTAATTTTTCTCTTGTGTCCAAATCAGGGCACCTTCATGACTCCTGCAGCATATTTTCTTGAGTTCTGTCTTAGTGAGCTGGTCCTCCTGTACTTTTCCTTTTCATAGTTTCCAATATCTAGCCATAAGAAATCTTTTGAAGGATAACAGCTAATAGAAAGTGATGTTTGAGAGTTGTTCATTCATTCATTTAAATATTATGCAATATATCTTTAGTGCCCACTATGTGCCAGGCACTGTACTAGGTGCTGCAGATAGAGGAATAAGTTAGATTCTTTAAAAGATGGCATTCATCTTCAGTTAACGTCTGTGTTTCTGATTGCAAGTGCCTCTCTTTGATAGCATGATGTGGTTTTAGACACTTTCCTGGCATTCAGAAGAGGAAGGAGCAGTATCTTTAATTTCTGTCTTTCCTCCTTTTTTGAGGATTTGAAAGTGTTCAAGGTTGGGAAATGTAGCTCAGTGGTAGAGCACTTGTCTAGCCTGTCCTTGCTTCAATTTCTAGCACCTCAAGAAAACAAAAAAATAAAATACAAAGTCTAAAAAGTGTTCATACTTGGTGATAAACATGTTTTTGAATGATTATTCACTTGGAAGCCCTTTAGGTAATGTGCTTCACTGCAAACTGTTACTTGCCAGAGCATGACCTCTAAAGACAGTAATTTGAAGTACTTGCTTTCTGTCCTCAGGGAGAACAATCCTACACTTGTGGAGGTGCTAGAAGGAGTTGTCCGTCTCCCAGAGACTGTACACACAGCTGTGCGGTACACCAGCATTGAGCTGGTTGGAGAAATGAGTGAAGTGGTTGATCGGAACCCTCAGTTCCTGGGTATATGGAATTCTGCTCTCTGTCTCTGCCGTGTCAGCCTTTTTTGATCCCTCTCTCCTTTCTTTCTCTTGCTTTTATTTTTCTGCTTTCTTTTTTGACAGAACAAGCATGTTGGAAGTTGCTTAGGTGATAACATTTGTTACCTGATCGGGGCAGTGGCGGGGGGATGATATCTCCATATAGGGAAAGGTTTGACTATTCTGCTTGGCTTAAAGCACAAACATTTATGTTTTTGGCAATCTTGAGCACCTGTATGAGCTAATCAGACTAATTCTAACAACTAATAGACTATGCAGTAAAAGAAAAAGTTAAGAATTATTCAAAACAATATAAATAAAAATGCATAGTGTTGGTTATAACCTCTGTCTGCCCTTCCTGACTCAAAAAAAAAAAAAAATAGTTATGAAGAATAACGTTAGAATTGGAATTAAAGTTAGAATTGTTTCAACTCCCTCATTTTTCAGATAAGGAAAATGAGATCCAAAGAAAACAAAAACAAAAAAAATTATCAAGAGTAATACATAATCAAGCTCGTGATATTTAAGAGAGATACATTCTGAGAATTTTGTGTCCCCAAATTTGTGAATATTTACAAATGATCTGATTTTAATGATTGCCACAAAAAAGTGAACATGTTCTTTTTTTTCACATTTTTGCACATACAATCACTGAGACATATTCTAAGTTTAGCATACCATTTGATAATGTTCCTATTGTGTGTGTTGTGTGTATAAGTGTAAGACTTTTAAGTACCCACATGTTGCATGTGTGAAGGCTAGAAGTCAGCATTTCGTGTTCCCCTCTGTTGCTCTCCAACCTTTTTTTTTTGTCTTTTTGAGACAGGGTCTCCTTGTAGCCCCAGTTGTCCTGGAACTCACTATGTAGACCAGGCTGGCCTCGAACTCACAAAGATCTGCCTGCCTCTGCCTCCCAAGTGTTAGGATTAAAGGTGTGAGCCACCACGCCCGGCTAACCTTATTTTTTTTTTGAGACAGAGCTTTCACTGAACCTGGAGCTTGTCCTTTATAGGCTACACTGGCTGGTTAGCCACTGGGATCAACCTGGCTCCAAAGTCCAGCACTGGGTTACAGATATGCACTGCTGGGAATCTGAACTCAGAACCTCATGCTTGGGTTTTGTTTTGTTTTGTTTTTTGTTTGTTTGGTTGGTTGGTTGGTTTTTTAATTTATTTGGTTGGGTTTGTTGTTTTGAGACAGGGCCTCACTATGTACCCCTGGCTGGCCTCAAACACACAGGGACCTACCTGCTTCTGTCGCCTGAGTATTGGGATTAATGGCATGAGCCACCACGACAGGCAGGTTTTTAAGCTTGGACAGTAAGTACTTGGCCCACTGAGCAAATGTGAGGCCTAGAGTTTGAGTCCATAGAAACCATATAAAAACTGGGTAGGTGAGGTGGCCACCAATAATCCCAGTATTAGAGAGGCAGACAAATCTCTGGGGCAAGTTGACTAGATAGACTAGTAGTGAACTCTGTTCAGTTGAGAGACACTGCCTCACCTAGCATCAACTTCGTGTGCACCCTCACACACATGTGCACCTACATACATACATATGAACTTGTATATATGTATGCACATAATATAAATGCCAAACTAAAGATTTGTTTGTTTGTTTGTCTTTTTGAGACAGGGTCTCCCTGTAGCCCCAGCTGTCCTGGAACTCGCTATGTAGACCAGGCTGGCCTTGAACTCACAGAGATCCACCCGCCTCTGCCTCCGAGTGCTGGGATTAAAGGTGTGTGCCACCACGCCCGGCTTTGTATTTTTTTTTTTTTTTTTTAATGTGTGTATGACTACTTGTACAGCAGCAGAGGACAGAGGCATCAGATCCCCTTGGAGCTGGAGTTACAGGTGATTGGAAGTTGCCCAATATAGGTGTTGGGACTCAAACTCAGTTTCTCTACAAGAGCAGTATGTGCTCTTAACCAATGAGCTATCTCTCCAGCTCCATTTGTATTTAAAGACCTTTTGTACCTAGAAACAAATATAAAATGCCAGCTTTAGAACTGGGGAGATGGATCAGTAGGTAAAGCACTTGCCATGCAAGCCTGACAACCCAAGTTCAGATCCTCAGACCCACATAAAAGCTGGGCATTTTGGTCAGTGAAATAGCTCAATAATCAAGAGTAAGGGTGCTTGCTGTGGAACTGACATGGTGGAAGGAGAGAACCAACTCCTGCAAGTTGTCCTCTGATCTTCACATGGGCACTGTGGCACTTGGTGGAGGGGAGGTGTACATACACTAGAATGAATAAGTCATTCATTATAAATCAGGTGTTTATAATCCCTGAGGGCCCCTACCAGGAGATGGAAGGCAGAAACAGGAGACTTTCCCAAAGCTCATGAGCCAGCTAGCATGGTATATGGAGCAGTGAATAAGAGAGATGGTCTCAAAGAAAGGAGAAGGCAGGGACCAACATTTGAGCTTGTCTTCTGATGTCCATATGCACTTACCTGCACAGAAACACACAAAACAGTCAGCTTTAGACAGCTATAATCTTCTTGAATAATTTGGCCTGTTTTGCCAAATGATTCATCTCAGGTCAAATGGTAGCTCTGAGTTTTCATTCTTTCATACATTACTGTATTTAATAATTAGATGGCTAGATTAGTCACTTTTTATATTTTTTTCAGTGTTGAGCACTTTTCCATATATTTATTGCCATTTGCACTTAAGTTTTTGTTTAAATTTGTGTGTGTGGTTGTGGTTGTGTGAATATATGCTGTGTGGGTGGGTGCCTGAGGAGGCCAGATAGGAGTTACTATTTCAAAAAAATCTAAACCTTTGTTCAAACAAACTAGATGCTTTCATTGAGTTTCACATATGTAATCCCAACTTGGCTCTCTTTTTTAGACCCTGTGTTGGGCTACTTGATGAAAGGCCTGTGTGAAAAGCCTCTGGCTTCTGCTGCAGCCAAAGCCATTCATAACATTTGTTCAGTCTGCCGGGATCATATGGCTCAGCACTTTAATGGACTCCTAGAAATTGCCCACTCCCTTGATTCCTTCATGTTGTCTCCAGAAGCTGCTGTGGGTTTGTTAAAAGGTATTTACTTAAGATGCTAACTATTAACAGTCTTCTCTAAGCCATTACTCGGGGTTATCTTAAATCATATTGTAGCTTTTTAGTTAAAATATACTTAGTGATGGTAAAGGTGGCTTTTCCATTCAGGGCACAATGTTTTGTATGTGCTCATGCATTCCTTTCCTAATGAAATTTAAGGCTATCAAAATAATGTATACTACTTACAGTATACATAGTATAGATCTAGATTTTAGGTAGAGACAACACCTTTGAATTAAACATTTAGTGCTTGCTTTTTTAAATTGGGGGAAATTTAAAGGAAGACCAAAAAAGTAGGAAGTGCCATTCCAAAGTGGTAAGTAGAAATTCTAAAGTACTCGTTAGCTTAACTAAGTGACTTCCTACAAAGAGACAAACAGCGGGAGGAGTGGTGAACTCAGACTAGTAGAAGAGATATCAAGACCAGGAAGAAAGATTTAGAGAAGATTTTAAATATGGTGGCTATTCTCCATAGGAATCCAGGCAGCTGCTATAAATACAGGGAGACCCTGTCTCAAAAAGACCAAAAAAAATGTGGGGAGAAGGAATGGGAGGTTTTTGTATCTACTTTCTAAACAAAAAAAGAAAGAAAGGCAAACTTTATTGTTAATTTTCTGGTTAATTTCACAGAAAAGAAAACTGAGGTCCAGAGAAAAGGTCTCACTTAAGCTTACAAAGTGTGTTTTGGTGACTTAATACCACATTTTATCAGTGTTTTTCAAACTTCTCTGGTAAGAATTGCCCAAGGTACTTAGCAAAAATAAAGCTCTTCTGGAAGCTTCAGTCTCTGGAAAAAATGAGAAAGATTGTATTATGGCCCTATAAAAATAGCTTCGCTCTTGGCTTTGGGAAGGAGAGTTTAAAAGTCTGAATAATTAGGAGAGGCATATTTATCTTTGAATCAACTGGCTGCTAAGAAGAAATTAATTTTGTTATCTCATTGTGAAAAATCAGTCTATATTCTTTAAGCCAAATTAAGCACATAAAACAAATGTTATAATTTTAAAAACAGTGCTAATCTTTTAAAGAATTCTGTTAACCTTTATGATGTAGATCAATTAATTTAATTACTTCAGTTCAGCCTTCATTGTCTTCATTTGCATTTTACTTTGTTTTTCAGGAACAGCTCTTGTCCTAGCAAGACTGCCTTTGGATAAGATTACTGAATGTCTTAGTGAACTATGTTCTGTTCAGGTTATGGCATTGAAAAAGGTGAGCTCATTTAAGTAAGGAACGAAACAAATACATATACTTGTATGTTCAGAAGGAAAAGATAAGCGTTAAGTATCTACAAGGAAGAAGTACAGTTGCAGGTCCCTTTACTATAGGAACACATTTTGAGATACATGTCATTCGGCAGTTTTGTAGATGTGAGAACATTAAGAGTGTGCTTCTTGGCGTGGTGGCGCACACCTTTAGTCCTAGCACTCCAGCACTCGGGAGGCAGACAGGCGGATCTCTGTGAGTTCAAGGCCAGCTGGGGCTACAGGGAGACCCTTCTCATAAAAGACCAACAATAAAAAAAGAGTGTGCTTCTACAAACCCAGAATTTATAGGTCAGTCACTTAACATGACTGCTTGAAGCAGTCAACAGACACCAGTGCACTGGGTATATGCACCTGCTGTTGGCATACTAGGGCTGTTGTTTTTGTTTTTGGTCTTTTTGAGATAGGGTCTCCCTGTAGTGAGTTCCAGCTGTTCTGGAATGCACTATGTAAACCAGGCTGGCCTTGAACTATCAAAGATCTGCCTCCCTCTGCTTCCCCAGTGCTGGAATTTAAGGTGTGCGCTGTCACACCTGGCACTAGGGCTGTTTTATGGTAAACTTTTTTTTTTCCCCCCTAGGTAGGAGTACATTAATGATAAAGCCAGCCTTGGTGCCATTCACCTTTACTTCCCTGCACTCAGGAGACAGATTCAGTAAGATCAAGAGGTTGAGGCCAGCTTTCACTAAACAGTGAACACTCAAAACTAAATTTAAAAGTGCTAGTGCCTTTAATCCCAGTACTCAGGGCAGAGGCAAATGGATCTCTGTGTGTTTGAGGATAGCCTGGTCTATATAGCAAGATTTAGGTTAGCCAGGGCTTCATAATGAGGCCCCATCTCAAAAAAAAAAAAAAAACACACACACACACAGAAGTTGAGTAAGAGGTGGATATATAAGGATGTGTGTTGCAATATTTGCTTTATGTTTGTATGTCTCTGTATCTTCAGCTGTTGTCTCAGGAGCCTAGCAATGGCATATCTTCAGATCCCACTGTGTTCTTAGATCGCCTGGCAGTAATATTTAGGTAAGATGGGAGAGTTTGTATTCTTCTCTGGGGTTAAAATCTCATATGAAACCTCAAAGTAAGCAAGCTGGTTGTGATGGATTATACCTGTAATCCCAACACTTGAGAGGTGGAGGCAAGAGGATCAGAAGTTCAAGACCATCTTTGGCTACATAGCAACCTTGAGGCCAGCCTGGACCGCATAAGCAAGACCATGTCTCCAACCACCCCCCACCAACTCCACCCTGTTATTTATATATGTCATCACTTTGTTCTCTAGTTAAGTGATTCACAAACTTTAGTGTGCAGCAGAATCACATGGAAGGTTTTTCAAAACATTGCTAGATCCCATCCCCCAGGTGTCTTGATTCATTAAATCTTGGGAAAAATCTGAAAAAAAAAATGCATTTCTAGCAAGTTCTCAGGTGAAGCTGCCATTTCCCCCTGCTGTTTGAGAGACACTTTTCTCAGAATCACTGCTATATAGTATATGAATCTGAAAACATATGGAAGTCTCTTCAACAATCAGATGAAATAAGGCCTTTGAAATCAAGAGGTACCCAGATTAGAAAGGCATTTGGAGGACAGTGATTAAAAGGTGATCCTGACTGAATCGTGAGACTCAAGGAATATTAGAGTAACAGGTACACAGATACCTGTGTTGAGAAAGTCAAAGACTTGGCTTATAATTGTCAACAAATGTCTTCAATTTGGTCCAACGCTTTTCTTGTATAGTTAGAAGAGCCCTTGTATATACTATTTGGACAGTCTTTCAATAACTTATTTTGTGGTAAAAAATAAAGAGTAGCTTGAGGTTGGTAGCTAATCATGCAGGGGTTCTTGTTTTGTTTTCCTCCTTTTCATCAAATTAGTGCACTACAGAACTACTAGACAGAGGAGTTAGATTTGTTGTAATGTTGGTGGGTCCATATTTTCATAGGTTCAGATTAGAACTGCAACAAACCTCTTGGTAAACTGTGGTTATTAAAGCTTTTTGTCTTTTAATGCTAGGACTTGAGCTGTCTTTTAATGCTCAGGGTGGGTTCACATAGCTTGTATATATTTTTATTAATTTGGAAGAAACACATTTAGGTTTATAAAGGTGGTAGTAGAAAAGGTAGAAATAACACCTAGCCTGCAGTATATGTAACCAGAGTTGGATGGAATTTGCATGTTCTGGTGGACGTGATAGAGCATTTGAAATAAAAATTAAAAAGATCACTTAAAGTAGTTTGGCTTTTGTTTAAAGGGGCTAGACAGAAAAGGTGTTGATGCAAGTAAATGGCTTCTACCACCAGATTTCATGATACTATAAGAAAACAAACAGGGGTCAGGGTCTGGTTCTCAGTGAACTGTTCTTCTTTGACTATTTGGATCCATTGTTTTCTTCCCCAGACACACCAATCCTATTGTGGAAAATGGACAGACGCACCCGTGCCAAAAAGTCATACAGGAAGTAAGTCCTAATGGATGTCATGGATTGCCTGCCTGCCTTCCTTCCTTCCTCCCTCCCACCCTGGCTTTGGGGAGCTGGGTTGAGAAGGTTCTTGGTCTTTCATCTTCGTAGGGAGAGTGTTAATATGGCTTCAGTTTATTTTTATATTTGATAATAAAAGTTTGTTAATGGCACTTGAAAGGCCAAAGAAGCAGAAAGATTAACTGTTGCTAGGAGGCCCAGCCAATCCCTAGCATAGTATTCGTGACAATGCTAATGACTTTGACTTCCCTTGTACTTTATTCACTCAGAATGATGTAAGGATCAAGAGTCATGGTATTTATCTATTAACTTACATACTGTTTAAGACAGGGTATGTAGTCCTGACTGGCCTGAAACTCGCTATGTAAACCAGGCTGGCTTTGAACTCAATGAGATTCACCTGCCTCTGTCTGCTGAGTGCTAGAATTAAAGTCATGTATCACCATACTTGGTTAAGAGTTATGGCTTAAAAATTTTTGTTTTAGCATGTATAGTGTCTGTGTGGGTCTCTGGTGTGTATGTGTGTGTATTTGTGTTCTTATAAAGTTTTGTCAGAATTATTTAAAAGCCAAATAAGCTGGGTGTAATAGCGCACATCTATAGTCTCAGTACTTGGGAGTTTGAGGCAGGAGGATTATCACAGTTTTAAGGCTAGTCTGATCTACAGTGTAAGACCCTGTCCCCCTCACCCCCCCAATAAAAACCCCAAATAATTAATTTAACCAAATCTGTTGTTACCAGCTTGAGATTCTGTTCTCAGCTGATAGTTGTTTTCTTTCTTATGTTCTATAAATTTGATTCAGATATGGCCAGTTTTATCTGAGACTCTAAATAAACACCGAGCTGACAATCGGATTGTAGAGCGTTGTTGCAGATGCCTGCGCTTTGCTGTTCGTTGTGTAGGCAAAGGATCTGCAGCCTTGCTGCAGCCACTGGTCACACAGGTAAGATTTCCAAGAATTGTGCCTTAAGACAAAAGCTTTGCTGATGAAATGAAGCCATTTGGATTAAGTAGAAACTAAAATATATTTGAAAGAAAGAGTAGATATTGAGTAGATATGTTGTCTGGTCTGATAGGAACACATTCTAGGGTAAAATTATGTGATAAGAATAACCATACTCAGCCTTTGTATGTTGGTAGTCAGCATTGTTGTATTAATATCCAGTGTGAAAAATGTCAGGCAAGTCAAATTTGACTATTTCGTGACCTAAAGAGATTCTTTTCTATCTTGACCATATTTTGTTGTTCATACAAGTCTCTTGTCAAAAAAATAAATTTGATTTGTGTATGTGTATGTATGTATGTGTATGTGTCCCCCAAAGCCGACAAGACGTCTTCCTCTCCATTTAATTTTTTCTTTTCTGGTCTTTTTGAGACAGGGTCTCCCTGTAGCCCCAGCTGTCCTGGAACTCACAGAGATCTGCCTACCTCTGCCTCCGGAGTGCTGAGATTAAAGGTGTGCACCACCACGCCCAGCTCCACTTAATTTTTTGAGACAAGGTCTCCTGCTCAAGCTGGAGCTCACTGATTCTGGCTACTCAAGGTGGTCAGTTTGCCCCAAGGATCGAGTGTCTCTGTCTTTCTAGTGCTGGGATTGCAGGCAGCTGCCACACCTGCCCAGCTTTTACATAGGTTCTGAACTCCAGTCTCACACTTGCACTTTATCCACTTAGCCCTTTCCTCAGCCCAAATTGGTTCTTTTAATCACTAATACTGGTAACTAATTATGATGGTATGATTTGGTGAAATAGTTTCTAACTATAAGATACTTACCCTTAGATCACAAAGTAATTTGTATTGCTGTTAACCTCCCAGCAGGGTCATAAATTTGTTAGTGTAACATCTTTAAAGGCTGTTTGTTGTTTGTTTTGCCATTTTTGTGCTACACTGTCACATTTTAGTTAGAAGAGTGAAGTAGCCAGTGAGACCCTCACTTTTTATTGTGTGTCCCAGAGCTGGAGAGGTGGTTCTGCAGGTTAGGGCCCTGGCTATAGAGGATGTGGGTTTGATTCCCAGCACCCATGTGATAACTAACAACCATCTACAACTCCAATTTCGGGAGATTTGATACCCTTTTTCCTTCATGGGCATTCATGCACGTGGTATACTTACGTTCATGCAGGTAAAATATTCATACACTTCAAATAAAAACAAAATCTTTTTTAAAAAGTTGGCCAACCCCTGACTTAATTATTCTTGAATAGAGCACGTAGTGTTGAGTCTACAACACTGAACAAAGCCATAGTTCATAAATGCTCATTTTATGGCATATACTGGTAGAATAGTAGACTACTCCATCAAGCCCTCCAACAAGCTCATAGAGTTGCATTTATACAATGAGAGCAACACACATTCTTTGTGACAGCATTTTATTTTTTAAATTATTTTGATGTGGTTTGGTTTATTTTAAAGATGGGGCTCGCCTTTAACCCCAGCACTCAGGAGACAGAGGCAGGCGGATCTCTGTGAGTTCAAGGCCAGCCTGGTGTACATAGCGAGTTCCAGGGCAGCTGGGGCTACAGGGAGACCCTGTCTCAAAAAAGACCCCAAAAAAAGATAGGGGCTCATTGTGTAGCCAGGCAAGCTCAAACCTCTAATTCTCTTGCCTCAGTAGCTATTAAGATTACAGGTTGAAGCCAGGTGTGGTGGCACACGCCTGGTCTACATAGTGAGTTCCAGCACAGCTGGGGCTACAGGGACACCCTGTCTCAAAAAAGACCAAATAAATAAATAAATAAATAATTTTTAAAAAGGTATTATTTGCACCACCATGCCTGCTGTGATTTTTTTTTTAACATGAGGGGATATGCAGTTATCTCTAAATTTTTAGAAGGTAGTGGAATAAAGAAATCTTGTTGAGATCAAGATACCTTGGTTAGAAACATTTTTTACTGAAAAGATAAAATAGGTGGATTTGAAAACAACTCAGTTTAAGTAGTTTTCACTTCTCAAATGAAGGTATTTAATATTTTGTCACTACCATTGCAATATATGGTGCTAAGATTAAGATGTATCTATAATGGTATTAGAAAACTGAAGAGTCCTATGCTAGAGTTTTTTTTCTACCCAAGTCTTTAAATTGCTTGTCATTGGAAGTATTTGAAAACTTTCAGCATTGTCTTGGGAAGGAAAACAGTCAAGGGCATGAAAGAACTCTAAAAAGAGAACTGGAAAATTAAGAAATTTAACCCTATATTTCACAAAGTGTTACCAACAAGCTAGATTATATATATAGCTTTTAAGAGAAAAGCCCAATCTGAATTTCCTCCTGGAGACAGATCCTTGAGTTGATATTCTCTAAAAGGCAAAGAATTGAATTGATTTCCCCTTGGCAGATGGTGAATGTGTACCATGTACATCAGCATTCCTGTTTCCTGTACCTTGGCAGTATTCTTGTGGATGAATATGGTATGGAAGAAGGCTGTCGGCAAGGATTATTAGATATGCTCCAGGTATGTTTTCTTGAGGGAGAATAAATAGGTTGGGCCTAGAGGGCCTAAAAACCTTTAACTGTGTTGTGTCTTCATTTCTATTGTAACCAAGGCATGTTGATTTTCTAATATCAGAGAGATAGAAACGTGGTAATTGCTTTTCTTTTTTCTCTTTAATTTTTAATTACATTTATTTGAGGTAGTGCATATTTTTCACCACCTGAGTGTGGAGATCAGAGGACAACTTGTGGGAGTTGGTTCTCTCCACCATGTGGGTCCCAGGAATCAAACTCAGGTCATCAGGTTTGCAACTAGACCACATCTAGTACATATATAAAGTGTCTTTACTTTAAAACTAAGCCAATTTCAGCATCTTATGCCTGTAGTCCTAGCACTCCAATAGATTTGTGAGTTGAAACCCGTCCTGAGCTACATAAGGAGATCTCAGAAAACAAAGGGCAGAGGAGATGACTCATTGGGTAAAAGTACTTGCCTTGAAAGCATGGTAACTTGAATTCAAATCCACACAACCCACATAATACAAGTCAGGTGCACTAGCACACATCTGTAGTCCCAGCAAAATGTAGTAGCAATAGTCTGTAATTCCAGTGCTCTCATGGGCATTGAAACTCTCAAATCAGGTTGGCACATGCAGCAGAAACACAAGAGCGACCCTGTCTCAGACAAGGTGGAAGGCAAGCATCCACAGCCATGGTTATTTTCTGACTCTAGATATGCACTTAGACACACAACACAACACACACACACACACACACACACACACACTTAAATAAGTTTCCAGAAATTCTATAAAATAGATATGGTGGCTCACACCTGTAATCCCATTGCTCAAGAAACTGAAGCAAGATGATTACTGTGAGTTTGAGACAAACCTGACTACAGTATGAGGCATTGTCTTTGAAAAAGGCAGGGTGTCTGGAGAGATGGGGTGGCAGTTAAGAGCACTGCTGGTTCCAATCCCGGCACCCGCACGGTAACTAACAATCATCCCTAACACTGGTTCCAGGGGATCCAACACGCTTTTCTGTTCTCTGTGGGCACTGTACAACACTTTTATACACATGCAGGCATAACACTCATACACATAAAATAAAAATAAATCAAAAAAATTTTTAAGTCTTTAAAAAAAAATCAAGCAAAACTTGATATGATGATACACACCTTTAAACCCTAGCATTTGGGAGGTAGAAGCTCCCAAGTAGATGCATATAATCCATTTGTGGCCAGCCTGCTCTACATATCAAGTTCCAGTCTCAAAAAAAATAAATAAATAAAAGGTGGGATGGGGGATGGTGCACATGTTTAATTCCTTCACCCAGGAAGCAGAGGCAGGTGGATTGCTATGAGTTTAAGGCCAGCCAGGGCTACTTAGTAAGAATGTGTCTCAAAAAAAAAAAAAAAAAAATTTCAAAAGGGGGAGGAGCTAGAGAGATGGCTTAGCTGTAAGACTACTTGTTGCTCTTGCAGAGGGCTTGGATTGAGTTCCCCAGCATCCATATGACTCACAACCATTTGTAACTCTAATTCTAAGGAATTCTGATGCCCTCTTCTTAGGTACCACGTGTATATACAGGCAAAACACACACATAAAATAAGTAAGTCTAAAAATTTTTTAGTTAAAAAATAGAAGTCGATCAATCAGTAGGGTGACATGTCCAATTTCATCAACTTAAATCTTTTGTTGTTTTTGAGAAGGGGCTCCCGGTAGCACCAGCTGACCTGGAACTTGCTGTGTAGACCAGGCTGGCCTCCATCTCATAGAGATGGTCCTCCCTCCACCTCCTGAGTGCTGGGATTAAAAGCATATGCCATGCCTGGCTTGAAATCTTACCCTTTTTCTTTTGGTCTTTTGGAGGCAAGGGCTCCCTGTAGCCCCAGATGACCTAGATCTCACTTTGTAAACCAGGCCGGCCTTGAATTCACAGAAATCCACAAGCCTCTGCCTCCCAAGTGCTGGGATTAAAGGCATGCACCACCACACCCAGCCCCCTTTCTGAAATGTAGACTCTGAGTATGTTGTATGCTTATGAGTGTGCAGGTGTGTATGTGTACAGAGACTACAGTGGGACAAACAGGACATCCTGTGTCTTTTTTCTGTCACTTTCCACTTTATTGCTTTGAGATGAGGTCTCTCACTGAACTGGAAGCAGACCTTTTCCTCAAGGGTGGCTAGCTGGCTAGAGAGTTCTTAGGATCTGCCTCTCTTCGCCCCCACCCCCAACACAATCTTTTCATTTCCCCTGTATGCTTCCATTCTTTGTTCCCTTTGTTGTGATGTTTAGCAAGTATAAATGCTGTGAAAGATACATTTCAATGTTTATTTTAGAATTACTGTTCTGTTGCAGGCACTGTGCATCCCCACCTTTCAGCTCCTGGAACAGCAGAATGGCCTCCAGAACCACCCTGACACTGTAGATGACCTGTTCAGGTTAGCTACCAGGTAAGCTTCTGAAGAGCAAAATCTTTTCATTTTAATTGTTCATCCCTGGCACTGCTAACACTTTATTGTTTCCTTCTCTGTAAAATGAGGTCATTTGGGAAAGGTAGATTAATGATTCATAACCATGAGTTAAAATTATGAGCTGGCCTGTCTCCAGAGGTGAGGATGAGGTATTAAGTGGAAGCAGAGGGAAAAGTAACTCAGTTTCTACCACGGAGAAAACATGCACAAGACAAAAATGTACTTAGTATAGGCTAGAGATGTAGCTCAGTGTAAGCTCTGGGTTCCGTGCCCACCACCAAAAGGAAAAAAGAAGTGTGAGCCCTACAACTCCAGTTGTGTTAGCTTTTCATGATGCTGTGATTACTTTATGCTTCACTCCAGTGTTTTCTTGGAGAAGCTTAATATCCTTCAACTATAATCATATTTTAGAACCAATGATGCCTTAGCAGTTATCTTGTAATGTATTCTCAGCTATATACCCCCACCAGCTTGTCACCCTGCTTACTGGTTAAATTTCTTTTACTAGTGGCTTTGACACCACTGTTACTGAACTTCTGCTTGGATTCCTTCTTAGTCCTGCCTAAGGAATTTTGGATCAAGTCAATAAAAATAAAAGCATTTTATTTAAAAAAACTTTTTAGGGCTAGAGAAATGTCTCAGCAATTAAAAGTACTGGCTGCTCTTGCAGAAGACCCGGGTTCAATTCCCAGCACCCACATGGCAGTTAACACCCATCCCTCTTCTGATTTAAAAAAAAATACATCATTTTCTTCAAAAAGCCTCCCTGTATAAAGAATCTGAGAAATGTTGTCATGCTTAAAAAATAAGACAAAATACTTAAAATTATGGATGGTATAGTCTTTTCTCTGAGAAATTACTGTTTTCATTCTGGAATTGATATTTCATAGAATATAATTTGGGAAATGCCGTTCTGAAATGTTTGGGTAGTTTGGACTGATCTTTGAAGCTCGTTGGCTGATTGATGAAATCTTAGCTGGACATTGAGTCCTTTCAGATACTAATCCAAAAAATGGTCCTTGCCTTGGCTGGCTATCTTAATTAATTTTCCTCTGGCTGTGATAAAATACCCTGGCAAGCAAGTTAAGAAAAAAAGGGTTTATTTTGACTCACTGTTTGAAGTTACTGTCCTTTGTGGCAGGGGAGTCATAGCAGCAGGAGTTTGAGGTACCTTGTCTCCATGTGTTCACATCAAATACTGGAGAGGGATGAGTGCTTGTGCTCAGCTCACATTCTCCTTTTTATTAAGCTTTAGGATCCTAGCCCAGGGAATGGTGCCACCACAGTGAGAGGTCTTCCCACTTCAGTTAACCTAAGCAAGATATTCCTCCACAGGCATACCTAGAAACCTGTCTCCCAGATCTCAAGTGGACAGTTGCGAGTGACCATTATACTGCCTTTTTTCTTTCTTTTTTTTTTTTTTAATACAAATTTTTAAAAGGTAACTTTAGGTGTACACACACACACACACACACACACACACACACACACACACTGTATTATCTTTGGCTGCTTCTGTAGCCTGATCTTGTCATTCATATCTATCTTCTCCCTTACCAGATTTATTCAGCGTAGCCCTGTCACCTTACTGAGGAGCCAGGTAGTCATCCCAATCTTACAGTGGGCTATTGCATCTACCACCTTGGACCACCGAGATGCTAATTGTAGTGTCATGAGGTTCCTACGAGACCTCATCCACACAGGAGTAGCCAATGATGTAAGTATAAACATTATACTTTTTCTACTTCACAGTTATTGTCTCCTCATTTTTAAGAGGAAAACCAGTAAGTATCCTAGTGTGTCCTTGACTTGTATTAGTAGCATAGTCACTAAAGAAGTTATTAACTTCTAGATTACAGATAGTTGTGCCAAGTGCTAAAGGCAATAAAAAGCAGTGTAAAAATAGCCTTGCTCCCAGTCTGATGTTCCTGTTTTCTTACAGCATGAAGAAGATTTTGAATTGCGGAAAGAACTGATTGGACAGGTGATGAACCAGCTTGGACAGCAGCTTGTAAGCCAGTTGCTCCACACATGCTGCTTTTGTCTCCCCCCCTATACCCTACCAGATGTGGCTGAAGTACTCTGGGAGATCATGCAGGTTGACAGACCGGTAAGATTCATTCATAACATACCTGTTCCTGTAGTTTCTAAACCTAATAGACTTTGATTCCTTAAAGTTATCCCTAACTTTGAAACCACTGTTATTGTGTATGTCCTTGGAACCAAATTTAGGCATATTACTAGGTTTAATTTGTAGATGAAAGGGCATATAGGAAACCAATAATTCATTATTGGGTTCTTTTAAATTTTATTTATTTGGGGTGGGGGCTGGAGAGATGGCTCAGCGGTTAAGAGCACTGACTGCTCTTGCAATGGGTTCAATTCCCAGCACCCACATGGCGGCTATGAACTGCCCTTAACTCCAGTTCCAGGGGAATCCGAAGCCCTCTTCTGACCTCTGTGGCATTGCACGACACGGGTGTATTCACGTACATGCAGGCAATAGACTCGTACAAATAAAATAAAAATAAATAAATAAAAATATTTTAAATTTTTTAATTTTTATGCGTATAAGTGTTTTGCCTGCATGTATGGTAAGTGCACTACATGTGTGCAATGCCCACAGAGGCCAGAAGAGGACATCAGATCCCCTAGAACTGGAGTTATAGACAATTGTTAGCTTCTGTGTAGGTGATGGGACTTGAGCCTTGGTCCTCTGCAGGAGCAGCCAGTACTCTTAACCACTGAACTATTTTTTCCAGTCCCCCATTATTGTTTTTTTTTCCTTGAAAGCATGGTTGTGTCACTTATCGTGAGGTTTATAATGTGTATCAACAGAAGTAAACTTTGGATCAGCTGTGTGGCTAGCCAATGGGAAATCTTAGTCATCTGTGAGAGATACTCATGTATTATTTGTATCAAGTTGTGGGTTATTTGGATGCTGTTCGACTATATTGGTCCTTGGTTGTGAATCTAACCAGTGTGTTTGTAGGCACATAAGTAGACCACAACATACATGCTTGAATTGATTTTTTTCCTTTTGGGTCTATTTGAGTCAGGTCCTTTTCCATCTGAATATGGAAAAAATTATTGGAGTGGGATGGACTGGCTGCTCAGACATGTTAAGCATGTGCTCTACCCCTAGCCTTGGAAGCTTTTGTAAGGCTAATAATGCCCTAAATTATTTCATGTTCAATGAGGTGATAGAGATTGCAGCCAGATAGCTCTCATATCTTTCAAGTAACTTCATTAGCCATATAATCATAAATGATATGATATATACTATGTCAAATTTTGAGGGGGAAGGTTCCTTTTGTTTTTATGGGTTTTTTATGTCAAATTTTTAAACATAGTGGCACAATATAATAGCCTATAAATTATTTTGATAATAGGATTTTTTTTTTTCTTTTGGTCTTATTGAGACAGGGTCTCCCTGTAGCCCTAGGTGACCTGGAACTCATTATGTAGACCAGGCTAGCGGCAAACTCACAGAGATCCACTGGCCTCTGCCTCTCAAGCGCTGGGATTAAAGGCATGCATCACCACACCCAGCTGGATAATAGGATTTGTCATTTTTAATATTAATAAAAAAATTGAGGAAAATACATAGTTGGACCTAAAATAAGACTGTGTCCAGAACCACAAAAGAAATAACACTATATAATGGCATGTATGGTTCCCATTGTTATTTGTTTGAGACACATTCTATTTCAATGTTCTATTTCAATTGCTTCTATTCTATTTCAATTGCTGTGTTTTCATAAAGAAAGTACCATGTGTGTCTATATGTGTGTCCTTGACTTGTTGATGGTTTGTTTTTCTTTTTTTGGGGGGTGGTCTTTTTGAGACAGGGTCTCCCTATAGCCTCAGCTGTCCTGGAACTCACTATGTAGACCAGGCTGTCCTTGAACTCACAGAGATCCGCCTGCCTCTGCCTCCTGAGTGCTGGGATTAAAGGCATGCGCCACCACGCTTGGCTCTATTTTTATTTTTATTGAGACATATTTCACTATATAGCCCAGGCTAGGCTGGAATTCTCAGCCCTCCTGCATCCACCTCCCAAACACTAGATTTATAAGCATGCATCTCTATGCTTAGCTATGCCATGCTGTTTAAACCACACATTGTGGGAAGGTCATCAACATTTCCAGTTAAAAGTTGTTTGTAATGCCCACAGAATTCTTTCAGGTCTTCATCAACTGATTTTGATCAAGTTTTGAGCTTCCTCATGTCTTAAAATTAGACTGCAGGAACATGCTAGTAGTGGCCAGGTTACTGCTGGTCCCCAGGAGCTTCCTTCTCTGCCTTGCTTAGTCTCCGTTCTGCCCTTGGTCTTTCTGGTATTTAAACATTTACTTTGAATTGCTTTTGATCTTTAAGCACAAGAATTTTCTGGCACCCATTAAAAAATATTATGTAAGTTTCATAACAGAACAAGAGTCTCATCCAGAAGAGGCTTCATGTGCAAAGTGTGGCAGTTTCTGCCCTGCTGAAAGGGAGTGAGGCCTACATGTGCAGAGATCATCAACCTAGAATGTTTTTAAAGACCTAAAGATAGTATTTTGCAATCCATCTTTTTTCCGACTTTAAAGGAGCACCTGTGGGGTTTCGTTAATGCTTGTAGGGTCCCCAGTGAGTAAACATTGCCTTGTTTTAAAACTCTTATCCAACTTCTTTATACAGACGTTTTGCCGATGGTTAGAGAATTCCTTGAAAGGTTTGCCGAAGGAGACAACCGTGGGAGCTGTCACAGTGACACATAAACAACTCACAGATTTCCACAAGCAAGTCACTAGGTGAGTCCTGGAGGCTTGACAAGGAGCGTAGCGGCTGGGGTGTGGAGAAAAACCATGTTTAGTTTTGATTTACACAAATCGGCATAGAAATCCAGCAGCTGGCAACATCACCATGCTGTGTATGTGTACCTCACTTATGTGGCACAAACTAACTGCCGTTTTGTCTTTGCTATTCAAGTCCTTAGTTCTCATCCAGTTTCAGGGGTGAAGAACACAGGTGCATGAATAAGCAAGGCATTTTGTCTATAAAATGTTCAGAATGGTATAGATTGCCATTAATCAGTTTTTATCAAAACTGAAAATAAAGTGCCATGTTAGTTTTTTCAAACTGTGAACATATATTTTTAATAGTTACATAATATTCCAAATTGCTGCTTATAGCCATAAACGGGTACTACATTTTTTTTATTGCCTATATTAGGAAATGGGTTATTTTCGGTTTTTTCAATAATATAAAAAAAGGATAGTCTTTAACTATAATCCTCCAGTAAGTCAAAAATGACGCTGTAGCAAGGTTGGCAATGTGAGGAAAAAAAAAAAAAACTGGAAATGCATTAATTGTCCATCATTACAAAATGGTTGCCTGGCGTGGTGGCATGTGTTATTAATCCCAGCACTTGAGAGGCAGAGGCAGGAGGATCTCTGTGAAATTGAGACCAGCCTGTTCTACATAGTGAGTTCCAGGCCAGCTGGGGCTACAGGGAGACCCTGTCTCAAAAAGACCAAAGAAAAATTTTTATTTTATTGGGGCTAGAGGGATGGCTCAGCAGTTAAGAGCACTGGTAGCTCCTGAAGAGGACCTGGGTTCGATTCCCATACTCACATGGTGGCTAACCACTGTCCATAACTCCAGTTCCAGGGTATCTAATGCCCTCTTCTGTCCTCCGTGGGCATTGCATGACATGGGTGCACTTACTACATACAGGCAATACACGCATACACATAAAATAAAAATAATAAATAAAAATTTTTTAAATAAATTTAAGGTATATGAGTGTTATACCTGCATGTGTTTAAGTGCACCCGTGTTGTGTAGTACCCTTGGAGGACAGAGGAGGGCATTAGATACCCTGGAACTGGAGTTATGGACAGTTGTTAGCCACCATGTGAGTTATGGGAATCGAACCCAGGTCCTCTTCAGGAGCTGCCAGTGCTCTTAACTGCTGAGCCATCTCTCCAGCCCCACCAGCTTGAACTTTTAAAACATCATAAAACTTAGCATCTTAATCATTTTTAAATATGCGGTTGTATTAGTCAAACTTTTTGTCACTGTAACAAAATACCTGACTTAAACTTAAAAGATGAAGGATTTCTTTTGACTTAGAATGTCAGAGGTTTTATTTCATCATTAGCTGACTCTTTTGCTCTATTTAATTTTATGCCTTGGTGAGAACGTTCTCATTGTGGTGTAAGGGCATAGAAGAACAAAGTTGGCTACCTCATGGTAGCCAGGAAGCAGACAGGAGGGAGCCAGGGCAAGAGGACAGTATACTTCAAAGGGGTTAGAGTGATGGCTCAGCAGTTAAGAATAGTTGCTGCTCTTCCAGAAGACCCAAGTTTGGATCCCAGTACCGACGTCCAGGGAATCTGACTCCCTCTTCTGGATTCCTCAGACACCTGCACACATGTATGTCTGTCTGTCTGTCTGTCTGTCTGTCTGTCTCTCTCTCTCTCTCTCTCTTGCTCTCTCTCGCTCTCTCTCTCTCTCTCGCTCTTTCTCTCTCTCTCTTTAAAAAAGATATACTTCAAAGATACGACCAAAGTGCCCTACTTCCTCAGCCAGGCTTTACCTCTTATTAGGTCATTCAACTACAAACTACTCATCAATGGATTAACTCATTGATGAAATTAGCACCTGCATGGTTAAATTACCTCAGTAGTACCAGCAACTGAAGACCATGCCTACAACATACATGCTTTTGTGGGGAAGGGAGGGGATATTTCATATCTAAACCATCATAATGGCTCAGTCATACCAAATATATTTATGATGTATAACCTATCTCCAGAACTTTTTCTTACAAAATTAACTATGCCCATTAGCAACAGTTCCCTGTTATCTACTCCCCACAACCCTAGCAGTTACCTACTTAATGTTTCTAGATTGCCCAGCATTCCTCGTATGTTTTATTGCACTTAATATTTTGTCCTTAGGGTTCATCAGTGTTGTAGTATGTGCCCTAATTTTCCTTCCTTTTTAAGGCTAAGTAATTTGTATGTTGTACTAGTCTCCTCATTGCTATGACAAATGTAACACCTGACAAAGCGACTTAAGGAAAGAAGCGTTTGTTTTGGCTCTGGTTCCCAGTTTGAGGGTGCAGTCCATCATGGCAGGGAAGGTGTGGCATCAGGAGTTGAAGAGATTGGTCACATTTCATGTGCAGCCAAGAAGTAAAGGAGTAAATGCTGGTACTATGCTGATTTTCTCTTTTCTATTTAGTCTGAGACCCCAGCCCAGATGATGGTGCTGCCCATATGTAGGGTAGATCTTCCCACTTTAGTTAACTCCCTCACACACATGCCCAGAAGTTTGTCTCTTAGGTGATTCTAGAGCCTGTGAAGTTAACAATCGATATTAATTGTTACATATGTTATATACCACGTTTTATTTATTCTTCTATTAGCACATATTTAAAGTTGCTTCCCCCTCTTGTCTATTGTGACTAGCTGGTATAAACATTACTATAAATGTGAATGCTATTATTATAAACAACTGCTTAAAAAAAAACATGGGTATGGGCAAGCCAGATGGCTCAGTAGTAAAGACACTTGCCTCCAAGCCTGACAACCCTGGGATTCACATGGTGGAAGGAGCGAACCAGCACTGGCAAGTTTTCCTCTGACCAGACTCCACAGGAGCACTGGTATGTGCATACGCACCAATAAATAAATAAAATAAATGTATTTTTTTTGTTTGTTTGAGACAAGTTTTTCCTGTATCTGTAGCTGGCCTGAAACTCAATTTGAAGACCAGACCAGACTGGCCTCGAACTCACAGAGAACAGCCTGCCTCTGCCTCCCAAGTACTGGGATTAAAGATGTGTCCCACCATGCTTGGCTATAAATAGGATTTTTGGGAGTTTTTTTGTTTTGTGTTTTTAAAGACAGAGTCTTAGCTGCAGCTAGCTCATTGCTAGCTCCAGTTAGTCTGGAACTCACTATATAGACCAGCCTGGCCTTGATCTCCCAAGTGTTGGGATTAAAGGCGTGAGCCACCAGGCCCAGTGTTATAAGTATTTTTAAAGATTAAAAAATAAGGTTCTGGAGAGATGGCTCAGTGGTTGATAGTGCTTGTTGCTCTTGTAATTTTGTTTCCAGCACCTAGGTCAGGCGTTTCATGCACATATAACTCCAACTCCAAGGGATCTGATGCTCTCTTCTGGCCTCTAGGCAGTCACACACATGTAGCACTCGCTCATGCACATATACATTAGTAAAAATATTTTTAAAATTTAGAAACATAGATGTACAAATACCTCTTTGAGACCCTGCTTTCATTCCTTTTCCTTTTTGTTTTATACCCAGAAGTGGAATTGCTAGATTATATGGAAACCCTATTTTTAATTTTTTTATTTATTTATTTATTTTTAGTCTTTTTGAGACAGGGTCTCCCTGTAGCCCCAGTTGACCTGGAGCTTGCTATGTGAACCAGGCTGGCCTCAAACTCACAGAGATCCACCTGCTTCTGCCTCCCAAGTGCTGGGATTAAAGGTGGGCACCACCACACCTGGCAGAAACCCCATTTTTAAAGGTATTTTTGTGCTGGCTTTTTGTTTTTGAGGAGCCACTTCACTGTTGTCCATAGTAGCTACACCATTTATATTTCCACCAGTAGTGTATAATATTTCAGTTTCTCCACATCCTGTCAACTTTTTCCATGATGGGGATGCTAGGGGACTTTGGGGACTTGTTAATGGTAGCTACCTTAGCAATTCAAACCTAATATGTATGAGATAATTCATTTGCTTATTGACTATTCTAGTTTTTTCTTTTTCTTTTTTCTTTTTAGACAGCATCTCCCTAGTCCCAGTCTGCCTGACACTATGTGAAACAGGCTGTCCTCAATCTCAGAGATCTGCCTGCCTCTGCTGAGGGCTGAGATTAAAGGCATGTGCCACCACACACAGCATCTTACTATCTTTAAGAAAATGTCTATACAAGTTCTCAACCTTTTTGGTGCTGGCTTTAAAAAAAATTTTTTTTTTTTTAAATTTTATGTTGTGTGCCTGTATTGCCTGCATGTATGTAAGTGCACCTGTGTCATACAGTGCCCGTAGAGGGGAGAAGAGGGCGTCAGGTCCCTTGGAACTGGAGTTATGGACAGTTGTTAGCTGCCATGTGGGTGCTAGGATTCAAACCCAAGTCTTCTCCAAGAACAGCCAGTGTTCTTAACCACTCTCCAGCCCCTGTTGTTGGCTTTTTTGAGGCAAGGTCTCATTATCTAGTACAGGCTGGCTGGAACTCACTGTATAGTCCACTCTGGTCATGAATTTATGATAATCTGCCTGCCTTAGCCTGCTGGAATTACTGGTGTGAGTACCAAGCTTTGCCTCTGTTCTTTTTTTTTTTTGAGAAAGGGTCCCCTTGTAGCCCTAGCTGTCATGGAACGCACTATGTAGACCAGGCTGGCCTTGAACTCACAGAGATCTACCTGCCTCTGCCTCACAAGTGCTGGGATTAAAGGCATGTGCCACCACGCCTGGCCCCTTTTTTTTTATTATTTAAGATTTATTTTTATTTTATGTGCATGAATGTTTTGACTGCATGTATGTATGTGTACCACATGGATACCTGGTGTCTGCAGAGGCCAGAAGAAGGTATCAGATCCCCTGGAACTGGAGTTAACAATAGTATGAGCTGCCATTTGGGTGCCAGGAACCCAGTTCATCAGCAAGCGCAGTAAGTGCTCTTGATGACAGAGCCAGCTGTCTAACCCTGCCTCTGTCCTTTTTAAAATTGACTTGTGGGGCTGGAGAGATGGCTCAGTGGTTTAGAACACT